CCCATTTCTTGTTTTTGTCAGGTTTGTCAAAGATCAGATGGTTGTAGATGTGTGGTATTATTTCTGAGGGCTCTGTTCTGTTCCACTGGTCTATACCTCTGTTTTGGTACCAGTACCATGCTGTTTTGGTTACTGTAGCCTTGTAGCACAGTTTGAAGTCAGGTAGTGGGATGCCTCCAGCTTTGTTCTTTTGGCTCAGGGCTGCCTTGGCAATGCAGGCTCTTTTTTGGTTCCATATGAACTTTCAAGTAGTTTTCTTCCAATTCTGTGAAGAAAGTCATTGGTAGCTTGATGGGGATGGCACTGAATCTATAAATTACCTTGGGCAGTATGGCCATTTTCATGATATTGATTCTTCCTATCCATGACCATGGAATGTTCTTCCATTTGTTTGTGTCCTCTTTTATTTCGTTGAGTAGTGGTTTGTAGTTCTTCTTGAAGAGGTCCTTCACATCCCTTGTAAGTTGGATTCCTAGGTATTTTATTCTTTTTGAAGCAGTTGTGAAGGGGAGTTCACTCATGATTTGGCTCTCTGTTTGCCTGTTACTGGTGTATAGGAATGCTTGTGATTTTTGCACATTGATTTTTGTATCCTGAGACTGCGGAAGTTGCTTATCAGCTTAAGGAGACTTTGGGTTGAGATGATGCGGTTTTCTAAATATACAATCATGTCATCTGCAAACAGGGACAGTTTGACTTCCTCTTTTCCTAATTAAATACCTTTCATTTCTTTCCCCTGCCTGATTGCCCTGGCCAGAACTTCCAACACTATGTTGAACAGGAGTGGTGAGAGAGGGCATCCCTGTCTTGTGCCAGTTTTCAAAGGAAATGCTTCCAGTTTTTGCCCATTCAGTATGATACTGGCTGTGGGTTTGTCATAAATAGCTCTTACTATTTTGAGATGCATCCCATCAATACCTAATTTATTGACAGTTTTTAGCATGAAGCGCTGTTGAATTTTGTCAAAGGCCTTTTCTGCATCTATTGAGATAATCATGTTGTTTTTGTCTTTGGTTCTGTTTATATGCTGGATTACATTTATTGATTTGCGTATGTTGAACCAGTCTTGCATCCCAGGGATGAAGCCAACTTGATCGTGGTGGATAAGCTTTTTGATGTGCTGTGGATTTGGTTTGCCAGCATTTTATTGAGGATTTTTGCATCGATGTTCATCAGGGATGTTGGTCTAAAATTCTCTTTTTTTGTTGTGTCTTTGCCAGGCTTTGGTATCAGGATGATGCTGGCCTCATTAAAATTATGTTCATATATTTAGTCTGTTTACCCTTTGGTACTTTAATTTTTTTTAATCCCAATAAATAAAGGCTCTTTAAAGACATTAGCACTGATCTACCATCTACCATAGCAGTTTGCACAACTTTATCTTCTGGCCTCCAGAATGTTTTACATGCATTGTACACTCCCAGCAATGTCTTTCAATAAAAGGCTCCTCCTAGAGGTGTCAAACTTATCTTTGTATACTCACAATACACAACACAGTGCCATGTATATAAAATTAGAACGTGTGTGTGTGTGTGTGTGACAGAGAGAGAGAGAGAGAGAGAGAGAGAGAGAGAGAGGGAAACAATTGGAAACAGTATTATTATAGCACAGACTTTGACACTAGATAGTCCTGGGTTTAAATTCTGGCTTTATCATTTTACCAGCTATGTAATCTTGAAAAAAGTGACTTAAATATTGTCAGTTTTCTCCTCTATAAAATCAGAACAACCTCACAGACTTATGATGAGAATTCAGATGATTTATGTGAAGTTTTAACAAAGTAACTGGCACAGGGTAAGCACTCCACAAATGGTAGCATTTATTATTAAAGATATCCTAAGGAAAATTATAGGTAAAACTGTGAAATATTTAAAGTAGTTTTCTTTGTATTTTAAAGGTGATATTTAAACAGAAAAAAGATTCAATAATGAACTCAGAGTAAATTTATCTTATATAATATCATATGAACCCATTTAAATTTTAGCTACCACATACAGAAGGTAGCACAAATGTATTAGAAACTCTTGTCTTACTAAAATGGCAGAATAACACAGTTAATGTCAAATGACAATTACAAATTAATACTAATGAGATACAGAGTTTTACTATATCAACAATAAAAGGCATATGGCTATTAACCTGTTCTATTAATAGAGAACAGAAAATTCAACTTATCAAATTTACTTTAAATATATTTTTATTTAACAATCACAGTGATTCATCACAGTTTACATACTTTATGCTTACCTCAAATCTTTTACTTCTAAGTGCCACCCTACCAAACTAGGCTGACTCTATTCCTACTTTCTAACTTTAGTCTTTAGCACAGCATCTAACACTTGGGAATTGCCCAAAAATCATCTCTGGATATAACCAACTCTACAATATATATTCATTATTCATCAAGCTGATTTTCTCACCTTTCTCACTCATAACATTCACAGTTCAGCATTTTTGGTCAAACTAAATACTATCTTTCATATCCTCTCTGCTAAGGAAAAACTAACCATCTTTATTGCCAGCATAATACTATAGAGAAGGCAAAGGGTCTTCAGTCTGAAAATTGTTCTTAAATGTCTTTCTTCTACTTCGTAGCCTCGTAAGTTTGACCAAGTCATTCAACATTTCTATGCCTCAAGTTCTTCATTGTTAACTCAGGGATAACAGCTATCCTATTTTAGCGTTATGTGAAGATAATACAAGTGAACATGCTTTGTAAATGGCAAAATACTATCAGATCTTAGTTAATACTACTGAATTCATTTAAAAACACCATTTCAGACCTTAATGTCTTTCCTTACTTTCTCTGATTACCTTCAGATGACAGTGGTTTCCTCTGTATTCAGGTCTTACATGCATTTGTCAGCTTCACATTTCACACTTGCATTTCACACTTGCACTCAATATACATAATGTCTGGTATTGTTTCATTTGTCTATGTCTAGTACACATACCAATGTACTTGAGACAAATAATACAAAACAAGAAATGCCCATAAGTGAGGGCAGAGATGATATTTAATGTTTGTTTTGAATCATTATTCATGTATGAGACTTACAATGTATATTGGTTGCATTTTATCTACTTTATACTTCCATTAGTCGAAAGATTGAGATACGATTGCTAGTGAAATAAACAAAAATTGAGCTAAACAAATTCAGTTTACTACTTATTTCAAGAAACTAGTATAATTTTATAAAGTTATTAGCCAAATTCTATTTTAACAAATCTTATTTTCTTCTTTAATAACTCATGTGAAACGTTACAGCTATTAGTCTATTTCTAACAAATCTTGTTAGTCTTTTTCTTTAATAACTAATTTAAAATTTCAGCATATCATTTTTTAATATAGTTTACCTACCAGTTTCTATAACATCTTTACTGATAAATATTAAAAATTATGGTGACAAAGTATTTTTATTAGGAGCCTCAACAACTTTATAATATGCATTGTTATTAAACCAAAATCTGTTTCTCATTACCAGATGGTCTTATCAAATAATCTGATTAGAAAAAGGAAGCACTTTCCTGATGACTGCCTTACTCATTTGTGCAATGAATTAAAAAGTTACGGCAAGCTAAATGTTACTCTGAAAAAACCCACCAACAACTCACTTTATCATTAAGTTGTCAGACAAACACCCTATAAAACATCAATCAACTGGTATTAGAGTTTTGCAATGCCAATATATTATTTTCTTCTCCTCCTTATCAGAGTAAATCTAAGTTATTTTCATTATTCCCAGAAGAGGCTTCAGTTTCTGTTTTTGTTTTATAGCTTTCATTTCTGAGGTTCTATATTATATTTATCATAAAGCTGTCTTTGTCCCACATTGAAATCTCTTAAGAACAATTTTATCTTACTAATAAGTGGTATGAGAATAAGTGGTACTAATAAGTGGCTGTTGAGGAATATTAGGCATTCCCTCACATCAGAGAGATAATTTCTTTTCTATAGAATTCCAACAATAGGGAAAGCAATCCAAACACTATGACCAAGTAGGTTCACTACAATACTAAACTAATATTATTCTCTGGTAGTCATCCTTTTTAGAGAATAAGTTTAAAAAGGACTCTACAGTTATTTGCTATGCTATATCTTTTAAAAACAATAGAATTAATATGATCAACTGTTAACAGTTGTCAAATCTGTAAAATGGTGATTATGTTTACTTTTGTATCTATGTTTTTAAAAATTTCTCCAAATAAATTTTATAAAAAAATAAATAACCAAAAGAGTGAATTTCAATAGAGAAATCATAAAAATTAGAGTTAGAGAAAGAAAACAATTTAAAGAAAATCAGTTGCAATTTAGGAAATGTGTACTTAGCTGTTTCAGTGTAACTAATACAATAGTGTAAATGAAAGTGCTACTACAAAATAATATTTTTAAATCATGAAGAATTTATACTTCTACTGCAGCTATCCTTAGCACTGCAAGAGTCTAAAGATGGGAAATGTCTGGAAGAAAAGTAAGGTGAAGGAGTAAATACTTGATGATAGGTATCTATTTTAAAAGATTAGTAAAGTTAAAAAATACAAAACTTAAGTGAGAAGGAAAAAGCTAGTCAAAGAGATAAGTAATATAACAGATTCTTGAGCCAGACTACTTGAGTTAGAATTTGAGCTCAACCAAGTGTGACCCTGGACATAATGTTTTACCTCTCTATAACTCATTTTCCTCATCTATAAAGTACGGAAAATAATAATAATATTGATCCCTGAGAGTTATTGTGAGGATTCAATAATTTAATATGTGCAAACTGCTTAGGACAAAGTCAGACACATAATACACACCATAGGTTTTAGCTGCAATTTTTTTCATAAATTTGAACTGAGAAGTGCTCATCCAATGCTCTGCTTCACTAGCAAAAGCTTAACTTGCCAGGGACTCTGTCAAAATTCCTACTAATGGGACACCGGTTCAAGCCTTGGAGAAGTATGTAACTCCAGGAAAGCAGAAGCAGTCTATCTAGTCCCCAAGGCTCCCAGTCAAACCAGAAAAGAAATATAAAAGACTTATGATTGAACATATTGCAGTAAGAGGCGTTTTAAAAGGTCAAAACTTTAGTAATAGCAAAATTAGGGTAGAAATTGTTATCCTTATTTCACAAACAAGGAATCTGAAGCTTAAACAGTGAAGTCATTTACACAACATCATACAGTAGTATTGTCAGGAGAGGACTACCTATGTATACCTTAAACACCAGTACACCTCCAAATATCTAATAGTACCCAGCATCGACTAGATGCTTGTATAAAACGACTGTTGCACAAATGGATGGATGGATGGATGGATAAATGTAGCAAGCAGTCAAGCAAAGATTAGGTTTCTGTGGAATAGCCACTGACCCTGGCAAATCAAACTAACTCTATGGGGCTAAACTTTTTGGAAGAAGACTCAATAAATGCCCCTTATTTTAATGCAGTAATATTTATGCTATTTATAGACCAACACTATGTGTTCTTATAGTCACAAAATATGCACAGCTATCAAAATATTCTGCAAGAAATGAAGGAATGTTTCTTCCAACTAGTGATAGCACCAACTCAATTATCCATGCCAATAGAAAAGATTAAATAAGGGCTCCAAGTATAAAAATAACATTTAGCTATTTGCGTATACTGTTGTGTATTATAATTATTAAAACAAAATAATGAAGCCATGCTGATGCCTAATTTGGGAAGACAGAGAAATTGATTCATCATCCCCATCCTACCCCCTAACTAGACTGATACAAAGCCCCAGCCTAAATTAAGTTCTTTCATTTCCTTCTAAGCTCAATTTGGGGTTTATATTTTCCTTGTTTAGGTTAGAAAAGAATGCAAAATATCTGTATTTAAATTCTCTCTTTGATATTTTCAGCCCAAAAGGAAATGTTAAAGTAAGAAAATACGAATCATGTCATCATTCCCTATGTAATTTAAAAGCAAAACTTATCAAATGTAAATAAGTTCACTGTGATAAATCTCACTGTATTTATATCTATTAGAAAATTACCAGTAAAGAAGTTTTTCTGCGCAAAGATGAAGTGGTAGGTGGCTTTATAAACCTCTAATTCACACTGCCATGTCTGCGGCATGTTCCATATTCGGGGGTAGCTGGCATTGATGTGGAACTGCAAAACAAATGTTAGGTAAAAGTATTAGAGCTTAAAATGTGACACTGTGTAAACAGCATTAGAAATGAAGTCACACACACTAGTGAGTAATTAAAACTTATTTTCCTACTGAGCTGAACAGAAGGTCCCTTTGAGACTTTAATATTGCTGTGGCCAATATCCATGGCTACATCTAGCTCCTTGAAATATTACGCCAAGATGTGGTCAAAAAACTTTCAAAACAGCAAATCAGGCCACTGTGTTGATACTGCACTCCACATAAACCAATAGGGTAACAACCGACATTCCTAATGTCTTCTTAAGCTTCATCTGTTAAGTGAAGGTTCAGTGTGAAGGAAGATAGAGTGCGATGCTTACTGTCACAGAAAGTAATATCAGTATTTCTGCAGCTTGGCATTTCTTTCTTTTTTTTTTTTTTTTTGGAGACAGAGTCTCTATTGCCCAAGCTGGAGTGCAGTGGCACAATCTCGCCTCACTACAACCTCCACCTCCTGGGTTCAAGCAATTCTTGTGCCTCAGCCTCCCAAGTAGCTGGAATTACAGGCATGCATGCCATTACACCTGGCTAATTTTTGTTTTTTTAGTAGAGGCAGGGTTTCGCCATATTGGCCAGGCTGGTCTCCAACTCCTGAACTCAAGTGATCCACCTGCCTCGGCCTCCCAAAGTGCTGGGATTACAGGTGTAAGTCACTGCACCCTGCCCAATTTGGCATTTCTGCAAAGGCAAAAGCTGCCTACCTAGGAAAGCATTGTCGCACAGCACTATTTATCAGCAATAGATGAAGAATTCATTAAAATACTGAATATGCCAGTTTAAGATACATTTATGGTATTTTACATATTCCTGTTAATTGCAGAATTTTTCTCTTAATTTACATATGTCATATGTAAAATGTTTCAGACAAGTAATTAAGAACCTTATGCACCATCTTATATGAAAGAATCTCTGAATATTAACCATTTTACATAGTGTCTTTTGTTAGTGTTGTTGTCCCTGATAGTAATAATAATAAAAATCTGCTTGATTAATGAGTCCCCAATCAGCAATTTTAATCATGGGCATTTACATACTGTTTCTCTTTCTAATATGAAACAATCCAGGGTATCAACAAGATTTTCTTCCTTTTACCTTTTATCAAGTAAAAGGCACAATAAATTACATTATTTAAACCCTAGGAAAGAAATCCAGTGGGGCTAGAAAACATATATTAAAGAATTATCTTACTTAGAACTTAGAATAGATTTAGTCCAGCCACATAATGTACTTTAAAAACAATATTCTAACAACTTCGCATATTTTTTAGGCCAAAAACATATGTATCATTGCCTTTTATTCACCTCCCTCATACTAGAAGCAGAGCAACAGAGAGATGTCAACAGGAGTCCATAGCACTGGGAATCCACTCCTCTTCCCTAGGACAGAGTCAAGAGCATCTAGCTATTCTTGAACTAGAAGATGGACCTTCCTGGTTAATTAAACTTTATACGAGAAAATTAAAATCAATTGTTTTTCATATAAGTATGCATATCATCATGTACTACAGACTCACTGCTAACATTTCTGCTTCTAAAAGGGTCCGATATTGCATGCTGGTAGTGGCATCCACATGTAAGAGTTGTCCTTTAATAGCAGGAGTGTAACCTAACAATAAAAACATAAAAATTAAGAACCAGGAAAACAATTACAAAATGAAACATCTTTGGACTGGAACCAACTCCTACCACCACCCAAAGAAGGAATCCTTGAAAAATGGTAGGTAGTCACTATTTAAACACACCTCAGTGACAAGGAGCTTGCTAACTTAATAGGTGATCCTTCTCATATGGGCTGCTCTCAAGGAACAAAGTTCCAACTTCATATAACTATTCTGATTTTGCTTTCCTTGGTAGTTTGCAAAACTACAAGTCTATTCTTTAAACAGTAGTTTTCAGTTACAGAACACAACTCCTTTTCTTCTTCCACTGACTCGAGGGTACATATTTTCATCATTTTCAACTACTCCTTATATTATGACAGTTACTAAATAACAGCTATTCCCCTCATGTAATGACAGTTTCTCAGCAATATAGCCCATTCTCAACAAAAGCTGAATAGTTTAGAGTATTGTATTTCCTTTCTTAAAGAAATTTCTTCCTATGAACGCAACTTATGTGGTCACTATTATACACCTAGTTCCACATGCATCCTTCATTCTGCTCTGGCCTTTTTTTTCTTTCTTTTTTTAATACCTGAATTTCTAAAAAGTTTTAAATTTATTTGTTATATATTGTTCTTGCCTGACACCTAAGTCCATTTTCCCTTTGCCAGTCATCTTAAAAGTCACCTAACCTCTATATCCAAAACCTGACTGGGCTTTCCTTAGACCCTTAACTCAAGAGTTCCACAACAAGTATGCTGTGGTACTTGCCACATATTTATAATAGATATGCTCAAGATATTGACTCCTCATTCCTCAGGTGATTCCTTTACTCCAGTGTACCAGTATTTTGTATAATACTGCATAAAACAGTAAAAACACAATTTCCTATGTGTGTCATCGGTTGTGAAAAGGTAGAAGCACATTATCAATTGTGTACAACTCTCAACTGCCTTTACACCCCATCATACACCTGTAAGTAAGGCTTTTCTAAAAGATGCTTCTTTCCAACTGCATACTCTGAATTAGCACTCCTAGAGAATCTCAAGCATCTCCTTCAAACCTTAGTAAGATTGTTTTTTTAATACTAGATAAGGGTTAGTTATTCACTAAAATAGCCTCAAAGTTATGGGAAAAATATACACTATGCCATTCACAGTCACTTTTTCAATTGATTATCTAAGCAGGCAGGCCTGAAGGCTACCACTTTACATAAACTAATGAACGTAGTCAACCCTCTGCCTGCTTTCCTCTTACAGCACAAAAATAAGTGACAGAACCAAGAAACAAGAGCCAAGAATTACACAAAAATGAATTATACTTAGAAACAGAAACACTAATGATGATTGATTTTAAATGTGGGTAAGTTGCTACTCTTTACTCTCAAGAAAGAAAATAAAGCAGAATTTCATCTTAACTGCTCTCAATTACAAATGTAATAAGAAAATGGAAATAAGAAGGCAAAATGAAGTTATAACAATTTGATAAATTTAACAAAAAGTACTTATTCATGTTATTAACTGTGTCAGTGCCCATATTTCAAGTGCATGATGAATTTAGATCATCTAAACTCAGAAGAAACTAAAGCTGTGAGGGCACTCTTTTAATATTTTTAACATGAAATGTTCTGATTTATTAAAGTTATGACACTCAAAGTACCCAGTTTACTCCCTGACAAAATCTACTAATAATATAACCTAAAACCAAGACTTATAGTCATCCAATCAATTATTGCCCAAATGTCAGGTACAGGGTTCAGCCCTGAGAATACACTAAAGGAAAAAAACAGCACCTGCTCTCATAGTGCAACAGTCTAACTGGAAAACTATGCATTAAGTAAATTATGCTCAGTCCTACAAAAGAAATGTATAGGTTATAATAAAAGCATATAGTTATAAGACTGAACTTGATTTGAAAATGTTTCCCTTCTCTCTAAATGCTCAATTACATAATATTTCCCTTGAATGACTATAGGCACATCAAAATGTAATAAAAAACCGAGAAAACCTTATTAATGTTAGTCTAAAATGATTAACAAACTTTCTTATTTGTAATTATTTGTCTAATTATTTAAAAAAGAAAAGTAACAGTTGCAGCTTACCATTTTCTTCAACTGTCATTGGAATATTAATTTCTAAATATGAGCCAGCTCCTACATTTACATGTACAGCATTTGTTTCCTACCAAAAGAAAAAATTAATTCATATAAAACATTAATTAGAATTATTCTCCCATCTTTACTTTTCAGTTATTACCACAAAAGAAATTATTGATATGTTAAGTATTAAAAGTTCCTAAGAACAAAAGTTCAAATTTTTACCAAAAATACACTAAAACAATTTAGCCAGATATAAAGGAGAAAATGAGCCAGAATATAGCATGAAAATCTATTACTATTAATTTCTTCTCATTATTTGACATTTAATAAAATTATGATGAAAGTAAAATACATACAATTATTTGAAGGGAAAACAGCTCATATAAGCTAATCCAAGTATGGGACTAGTCACCAGGAAAAAACTCTGAAAAATAATGTTAAAATTTTAAATACTATTTTCTACTATAGTATTATAATAATTACCCTATTTTTGGTAAACAGCAAATCAATTGTAGCATCTGCAATAATATTCATTCGTAATTCAAAAGCAAGGATCTGTCTTGGTCTCCCAGGCTGTGCAATTTCAGAAACTTTCAGGACTTGATAATCAGGTGGAAAGAAAAACTTCCATAAACAGTCTCTACATAAGGAGGTAGAAAGAATAATGACATGTTATTCAAACAAAATTACCTCTGATAAAGGACCAAAATCAATATTCTAATTTTTTATTATCATTGCTATCACATTTAACAATTAGACTGTCTTCTGCAATATTTAACACTTCCAGAGATCAATGAGCTTTGATTACTCAATAGATACACGATTATCAAATGAGATATAAGAGAAAATTTGCACTATTCAAGTGTACTGTAACAAATTAAAGACTCTCTACAAGTATATAAATTGCCCAAATGGCAAACAAAGAACTGACAGAGGATAGCTTAATTAAAATCATTATTCCAACCTGGACAAGTTACTCAATCTTCCCCAGAAAATTTGAGCTGCTTCCTCTTCTGTAACATAGGAGGTAATATATCTTGTCTCATAGAAAGGTTCGGAGGTTTAAATGGTAAGATACATGGAAAAGACTTAGCAGTGCATGGCACATGGAAGACGTGGCTATTTCTATTAATTTCATAATCACTTTAAATCAATATTATATAATTAAAAGGCTAAAGAGCAACAGATTTCTAAAAGGTAAATAGGTATTTGGAGTCTAAAGTGCTAATGTTTTTGCCTCCCCTTATCATTTGACAAAGACGAAAGAGCTCAAGAAATTTTCAATTCAGAGTCTTCTACATGAGCTAACATTAGTATAGTGTAATGTTACTCATACATTCAAAGAAGGTGCCAGTCTATGGCTTTAAAACAGGAAGGGATGAGTCAGCAGTGACAGAAAATGCTACCTAGAATAAATAAGACTGGGAAATATTAGATGAACCAGACAAAATCTGTACAATAAGTCTCATAGACTATAACTTGCTATCGTTAAAATATATGAAAGAAAAATAAAGTTCTGCAAATGTTTTGAGTAAGATACATAAATATAGAAAATTAAGAATATTAAGGATAGAGAATCCATCAGACGATCATTGACTACAAAGTGGGTAGATAGTAGGACATAATGAGAAAGGCAGTAGACCTGAAGGGCTGGTTTGAACCTCAGCACTTTATGCTTTAGCTTCACTATCTTACCCAAATCACTGAACTTCTCTGCATCTCCATTTTCACACAAGTAAAATGAGTTCATTACATCTGTCCTATGAATCTCACTAGGTTATAAGGATCAAGTCAGAAAATACTAATGAAAGCACTTTAAGTGAAAGCAATAAAAAAAAAAAAGGGCCAGACAATGTTAGGAAGGTTTGTATTATTATAATCATCATCTGAAGATTAAGTTTCATTTTAAAAGTTTGTATTTCAACTCTGTCATGAAAATTCATAAAAAGAAAACATGAAGTAAAAACTGAGTAATATCTTAAATATTCAGACAATCATGTAAAGATAGTAGAACTGACATCAAAATCTAGAAACTAAAATAATAATCTTATGATTATAAAATCTCTAGGCTAAAACCATGCTATTTTAAAAGTCAGTAACTCCTTACAATGCTGAGAGAATTATCCAATAGCAAAACAGCTGAGATTTCTTCCTGTATGTCTTATGTTAATAGATGGCTACTAAGAAAACTGACCTTACTATTCATCGCTGATTACAGTTCATATTTGTGCAGAAACTCAAATACAGAGAAGGAGAAGAGGAAACGGTTGCATAATACCTTTTGAACATGTAATTGAGCAGACAAATATTGCTCACATTAGTGAATTAAATACATGTGAAAAATACATTTTTTTTTCTTTTTAAATAAACCTGAGTGGTTTTTTAAAGTCCAGATTAGAAATGCATTGCTCTTCTCTCCTGGTAGTGGAAAAATCTACTGAAAGGAGTGGTTAAAGCAAATTTCTATCTTCAGTGTCATTTCTCGATTGCACTTTAGTTTGGGTTTTTGTGTAAATATACCCTAAAACTTATGAAAAATACACAATGAAATTAAACACAGTTTAAGAAGAATCACACTTTATTTAAGTGCTAAAAAATGCAAAACTACTTCATGGCCCTATGTTAAAGCATTATTTTCATTTTTTTTTCTCAAACAATATATAACTGTTCCGCCAACCAAACAAAATAAACTTTTCTTGAGATTTCTGAATATAAACAGATGTCGCTCTATTACTTAATGAAACGTAAAATCTCTCATTTTCAACTCCTGCATGTCAAATATAACATGACTTACAGGAAAAATTTTACCATTAGAGGAAAATTTAAATTCAATAATGTGAAAAGCATTTTCTTTCTAACCTGAAATTTTATGCTCTATTTACTTTCAAGTTTAACAAATGACCTAATGCAGAATTTAATGAAGTATTGTTTTAGCATAATGCAAGAATTTTCAAATAACGAGCTTATTCATTTACCATATAATTGTTAGCTACTTAATGAGGCAGATATTCCTACATACTACAGATACCAAGATTAACAGAATATACTACTTGACAAAACATATAATAATTCTAATAATGCTAGCTAGATAGCACTTTTTTAAAAAGCATTTCAAAATTCAATACATCAAGTTAGTATCAGTACTCGTTCACTAATTATCAATGGTCCTGTAATATCTGCTCAAGTTAATGACTTGGCTTGTATTTCTCTATTCAAAAACGCTAGTTCATGAATAGAAAAACTAAACTAATTTTAAGGAATGTCTAATTTTGTACATAAAAACTTAGATGCTCCCTCATACTTGATGGTAAATATTCCCTTCTTTGTTTAAAATTCTTCAAGAAGTAGAAAAATGTTCACAATATATTAAAAATTAAAGCTACTTTAAAATAAAATGACATTATAAAATCCATACTTCTTAACCACTATAGACCATAACTACAGGACAATTCTCCACTATCCTCATGCATTTATAAAACGCTTCCCTTGCCTCAATGATTCACCCTCCTCTTCTTTCCCTGGCTAACTCTCAATTATCTTTCAAAACTTAATTTACATGTTACCTCAACCAAAAGCCTTCCCCAATTCTTCTCTCCCCTAATCTTTAATATAAATTATATACTATATACTAGGAATACCAAGTAACCTAAAAATTCATTTGTTGAAGTCCTAACCCCTAAAATTCATATGCTGAAGTCCTAACCCCCAGTACCTCAGAATGTGACTATATTTGGAGATGGGGTCTTCATAACGGTAATTTAGTTAAAATGAGGTCATTAGGGTATGCTGTCCTAATCCAATATGACTGGACAGTATGATCTGGACACAGAGGTACACAAGGGAAAGACCACATGAAGACACTGGAAAACAACAGCAATCTACAAGCCAAGGAGACAGGCCTGGAACACATCCTTCCCTCACAGCCCTCAGAATGAACCAACCATGCCACCATCTTGTTGGAGGACTTCTTAGACTCTAGAATTGTGAGAAAATACATTTCTGTTGCTTAAGCCACATTATCTGTGATGCTTTATTAAGGCAGCCCTAGCGAACTAGTAGAGTACTTTTCTAAGTTCTTCATCAAGACCCTTTACTTACCTTTATTATAGCACCTAATATGAGTCTTTTGGTTCTTTCTTCCCCACTAAAACTGGAAGACATATGTCTTTTATTTCTGAATTCCCATAGTCCCAACAATATGTCGCATATTGGCATATAGTAGGGGATCAATAAAGAAATCATTGTGGATTAAATCCAAAAGAAAAAAACAAATGAACCAACAAATATACTCTTCATTCACCATCTTTCCAATCAATCAGCTGCACTTTTGGAATGAACTTGCTTGTGGAAAAGCCACAAGCAAGTTATTATTTGGATCAAAATGTTTAGTGATATCTTCTTCTGCTGTAATAAAACAGTTTATAAAAATTTTAAGCTAGATTTTATTTCAAATTATATGCATCTCAATATATCTAAAAGACTTATTAGAAATATAATATACTCAAGTACCTCTGCCTATCGGCCCACGGTCCATAATTAAAATCTGTTCCTTTACCACAAACTATATCCAGTCCCCAACATGGAGGCAAGTCTTGTAGTTTGCAATCTTCACTGCTCATTTCTCCTTCAATATTTTCTTCTGTTTCTTCTGGAACAAGTCCTATATTCCAGAACATACAATATAAAGGCAGTTATTTAAAATGGCCATTAAAAAGTTTTCTTACATCAGCACTTCCAACATTTTTGGTCTCAGGAAACCTTTACACTCAAAATTTATTGAGAACCTAAAAGAGGTTGTTCTCATATTGTATTATGTCTATCAAGAATTACTATGTTCAAAATTAAAAGTCAGCAATTTTTAAAAATATTTTAAAAATAAACTCATGTTGACATATTTAATGTAATTAAATATAACATGTAATATAAATATAAAAATTAAATGAAATTTTAATCTCATTTTTAATGAAGAATAACTATATTTTCTAAAACCAAATAATTTAGTGAGAAGTATTAGAGGGGTTTTTTTTTGGCATATCTCTAACGTCTAGCTTAATAGAAACAGGTGGATTCTCATAGCTGTTTCAGCATTCAATCTGTTACTGAAGGATTTGGAAAAGATCTGGCCTCATAAAGATATGTAGATAGAAAGGGGAGGAGTATTTTAATAGCTTTTTCAGGCAATTTTTAATACTCTTCTTTGATGGTACCCCAAAATTCAACAAATGGAAATTTCTTAAAGGTTAACTGCAATGTGGAATCTGAAGCCATATCACTACACTTTTCATAGCCTGTTATGTTAAAATCTACTGGTCTATCTTGCACTTCGAATACATTTATCTATGCATGACTTTTATAACATCATGCACTGGTCATTTGGGAAATACGGGTTCACTGAGCAATGTAGATTTTTTCCAAATGTTGACCAATTCCATTATTAAACATTTAAAAACATCACCCTTGCTATATCATTGGTGGTCTCATCATAAAAGCTGTTAACTATTGGGATGCTGTCAAGCTCATAACAGCAGACTCAAATTTTCCAAAGTTTTTCACAAGAAAGCTCAAATTACAGTTTGTCTCTAACTACTCTTTCAAATAAAACTGGCACTCCATGAAAAAAACACAATTAGTGCAGCTTGCGACTTAATCATACAAGTGCTTTTCCTCAAGACACCAGAATATTTTGGTATGCAGCACAAGCACTTGATGTGTACTTCCCATTTTCTCACACCAAATATTAAAAACACTTTACTCAAAGGTCAACATTTGACAAAATAAATAATTTCTACTGCTTTATCAAGGAAATTTTTATGCGATATTGACATTTCGTTTTACCACAAATGTGTGGCAGTTGAAAAACACAATGACTACTAGTATAATTAGGAACCACTTCCTTGCTTAGTGTTAAAGCAACAACAATTTTACCCACCATTGCTCTGCACCATTAGCACAAATGTCAACATGGTGAAAGGGCAAATAACATCTTAGTTTTACTTTCGAAATACTTTGACCTTAAATACTTTTATACTCTGAAAGGTACAAAAAGAGCGGAAGTATGAAAAAAGAGCTTAAAATCCAATGTTTAGATACTTTTATAAAATGGAAGCCACCCGTCAAGAATTTTAACTAGATGGATTTCAATCCTCAAACTTTAAGTCTCGAATCTAATATACTAAGCTTCTAAGCTAAGATGAACTACCTTAATTATTGCTACATTCTTTAAAGGTTTTCACTCATGATCATCTGCATTCTCAATTTTTGAGGTTTATCTATGAAATCTGAATTTGAAAAAAATAATGTTCTCTTTTAATCTACAATACTAAACTAATGTTCAAGTTTTGAGAAATGACACAGATATTTTTCAGATATTTTCACTCATATCTACATTTACCATTTCCTGTTGCCTAAGCAAGAAGATTTAAAATATTACTAGATATCAGCATTTAATAGAACAAACATAATTGTAGCTATGAAACATACTTTAAAAAAAAACAGGCCAGGCACCATGGGCTCATGCCTACAATCCCAGCACTTTGGGAGAATGAGGCAGGAGGATCACTTGAGGTCAGGAATTTGAGATCAGCCTGGGCAATAGAGCAAAATACCATCTCTATAAAAACTTTAAAAATTAGTCAAGCACAGTGGCATTATTCCTGTCATCTTAGCAACTCAGGAGGCTGAGGTAGGAGGATTGCTTGAGCCTGGAAGGTCAAGGGTAAAATGGACTATGATTACGCCACTGCATTCCAGCCTGTGTGACAGAGTGAGACTCGGTCACTTTAAAAAAACAGCAACAACAACAACAACAATACCTGGCTCATCCATGTAGTAGTAGATGTCAACATCATTTGACTGCATCACCACAAAACCTTCTCCCATTAATCTCGGTGGTCTATAAGAAGTTGGAGGGGAAAGCAAACTAAACAAATCTCCAGAATATAAAATGTTCAGTATCCTAGTTAATGCTGGCAATAGGTGAAAAGAAAAAGAAAAAAACTAAAAAGTATATAACAAGTAGCATCCTGAAAAGAAAGAACAACATCTTTCCCATGAACAATCACCCTAAGAAATTGTTCCATAGTTCTATTCTTTATTAGACTCAATAATAAAATGATACTAAAAATTTATCAGTAAATTAGTTCAAGAAGAAAAAAAATTTAGTTTTAAAAAGAAAAACTTTGGTTTTATATTTTTCATTTTCAGTTTTGAATGAGAGAAATCGATTTAAAACAAAGTTTAAATACAATGGAATGATGATCACTGGAATAAAATGATCATATTCTGTATGTACAACAAAATTAAAATTTGACCATTTTATATTAATAGCTAAATAATAAGTACCATTTTATCTAGCTGTACATTAAACTATAATCATTCAAGAACATTAAATAAGACAAAGTTGTCATTTTTATCTTCATATTACCTATTTCCATGAATATTTAATCAACTTGAAATAAATCTAGAGCGAACACTGTGAACTCTAACTCTGGAATGAATGTTTTTCTACCATCAATAATTTCCCAGAAACCATTAATCTCTGTTTGCTTTGATTAAACAACTTTTCTCTTTGTCATACATACATCACATATCTTCTTGCATATCAAAATTAACTTCTCAATCATTAGATAACTTTTAAATGCAAAAACTCAGCAATTTTTTTCTAAATATGTATTAAATCACAAAGGTTAATGTTTAATATCATGTAATCTCCACACTTAGTTTTAACAAGTGAAAAATATAATTTAAAAATTTTTTATACAAATTATTAATAACAAGACACTTTTTCATCTTACTCTCTATAATTTTTCAAAAAAATCCTGTGCACTCATACACATTTGTGTGCACAGTCCACATTCCAGAAGATTCTTAACCAAGTCCATGATCTTGAAGAGGGAGGCCAGGTAGACCCAGTCACTATGACACTCAAAAAGGAAAAACCCTCTTTCTATCATTCTAGCCAAATCCTGGAAAATCGAATACCAGGCCAGTCAAGAGTTAGAACTAAAAAGGAATAATCATGTTTCACATATAACCACATAAAGTGCCTACACACAAAAAGCTGAGACACTGTACTAAAAACTCTCCATATGAACACTTAAATTACATAAATTCAACCACAGAGTATCCTTTACACACAAAAACCACAAGAGCCCATCATTCTCCCACTCAGCATTCCACCACACTGAGTGAGTCCAGTGTACATCATTCCTATAATGAGTCTTATAAATACAAGCAACTACTTCACTGAAGGAAAAAAAAATCTGGAAAGCTAGATGGAAAACTGACAGTTTGGAACTTAAAGAAATGTCAAGTGGGTCGCAAAACTATACCATCTTAACTTCACCAAATTTTCCAAGAGTAATTTCAATTCAATTTTCAACTTTCACTAACTCAAAATGGTATTCCACTGTAATGAATCTGTTCAATTTACTCTTTAGTCATATCTTCTAGAAACAAAAACCTACCTGTAATGTGTCTCTCCTAACATACAAACAGGAGCTAATTGCACAAAACAAGTTTCCAAAATACAATTAGAAGGAAAAACGGATAAAAAAATTATAGTTATAATCATGCAGAAAAATATTTAAAATTAGAGTTTATCACTGGATAGTATATCCATTTATCCCATAAAGAAGGACTACGCTGTTAACTGCTTTAATAGAGAAATGTACCTAATTTTTGTACAACTTGTAGCAAAAAAATTAAAAGGATGTTCAAGTTTCTAGCTGTATCTGTATTAGCTATAAGAAGTTTTTTATTATTTTTATAAGATTTTCTTACTCATCATTTTGAAGACCAACATATCTTGGACTGGGAACAAGCATGACTCGAACATTTTCAAGCTTTCCTTTCACAATATGCATGAATTGGTCAAGATGACTTGAAGGTGGTTTTGTAGTATAAGTTAAGAAAGCATCATCAAAGTTGATGCACAGAGTTTGTGGCTGGTAGTGATTTCCAAAGGCCAAACGTCCCTTAAAAAAAAAAAAAAAAAACGATAAGAGATATTACATGATGCTATTCTGGCCATATTTCTTTCTTTAGCTAAACTAATAACAAACATTTTCAAACAACAGCTCAATGATTCCACTTTAGGACTATGTGCTATTTAAATTATTCCACTGGTCAATTTAAACCAGTACTTAAAAGAATATTTAAGTACTTAAAGAAATTTAAACACAAATTTGTCAGAAAACAGTATCGAGGTTAAAATAATTATTTCACTTATACTTTACAGAAATGAGAACTAAAAGAAACTCCACAAAATTATTTAATTTTCTTACATTAAAATCATATTTGCAAAAATTAAAAGTTGTACATTATTACCCCATGAAACAGTAATTATAGCAGAATTTACTTACTGTGCTCACATTGACCTTTATGACTGGAATAAGTGATCTCCATGAAGATGTGGGGTCTTGGGATTCTGTTTTTACTTTAACTCTAACAAGAAAAAATACAACTGACATGAATAAGAAAAACTTAAATACCCGAAGACATAGTTTGCTTCCTCACAATACCATACCTCACAATATCAGTTTACTTTTCCAAATATATCTAATGATTACTTCAGTAAACAGAACAATGATCATCTGAAGGAATACTAATAGTCCTAAAGCTGTCTACTGGAGCACTCGATCATATCAACTTTTAGATAGATAAGCCATAATAATAAAACTATGTTTTTAGAATAACAAGCTTTAATGACAAAACAATAAGGGATGATATGCTATCATTACATCTACCATTTTGCCCATTATGTTACCAAACGACATTTTTTAAGACAGCCAAAGTTGTCACTAAAACATAAATGATTAAGGTACAAGTTACTTTGATGTTTGTCTACTGTTTTAAGCACTTCTGAAAACGATCCAGTTACTCCTCTTCCTTCCCTTGCCCAAATGCCTTGTGCCAAATTAATTCTCCCTTAATGAAATGAAAATGATAAGCCAAGAGTAAGAAAACTGGCCCTATACGAAGTACACAAATTTTAAGAAATGAAAATTTCACAGCAATTCACTAAATAGATAGATAATATATAAATAAATATGCGTGGCTATGTCCCAATAAAACTCTATATACAAAACAGGCAGTAGGCTAGACTTGTGCTATAGGTCTAAGTTTGCTGATCCTGTTCTAGAATAATTTTGTAGGTAGACCTACATACACAGATATGTATTTTTAAAAGCAGACCTACATATACAGATATGGAACAAGCTTACAGACAAACTGCTGCATAAAAAGCAAATTACAGAACAATACACACTATATGAGGCACATATTCTAAACATACATGTTTAGAAACACACAGAACAAAATCATGTATTTGTACATGCACCTTAAATATGTATGTATACATTTATGTACATACATTCAAAAGGATAAAAACTAAATTCATAACGGTAGTTATTAATATAGAGAAAAGTAGGATTCGTGCGCAGGGGAATAGAACAGGACTTTTTTAGATTACATATTCTATATTATCGCAGTTTCTCAAATAATTATATAATTATTTATGTTACTAAAAGTTTTAGTTAATTTGCAAAACAACATTGGGCTCTGTCTAGGTGCACAGCCTCAATGATATTCCAATAAAGACAAATGTTTAATGCTAGAGATTAATAAAATTCAAGTATGACACTGAACCTTTCAATTTTCGATTGGGTTCTTGTCCTTCCATTTTCCCGTGTTTTATCATCTTCTTTCTTGGGTGGAATTATTGTTGGCTCCAAACCAAACAACTCTTGAAGGCGTCCATAAAGATCCGAACGATTATAGACATGAAATTCAAAGTCATTGACTGTGATATATAACCTGGTTTCTGCCTTTGGATCTAAAGACACCAATTACAAAAAAATTTTTTAGTCAACTTTTCAAGAACTTCAAAGTTTTTATGCAAACATTTTTACACAGCTAAAGTAATTTAATTTATTTTAAAATAGAATTCTATGATACAGAGAGGCATACTAATAAAATAAATACAAAACACTGGACAAAAAAAGAAAAAAGTTGATGTTTCTGTTATATTTTAATTTAGCATTCTAAAAACAACTTTAATTTCTAGATTGCAGTTACATACTGAAAAAAATTAAAGATTTTTATGCTAAGAATAGTAAAGTATCATTTAAAGAGTAAAAGTACACTTTTATCCTAATATAGCCATAATTTTATACCAAAATACATGCAGTAAAATATTTAAAGTATGATGCTTTATTTAAGTATCATATTGGTATTTGAACTTTTGCATCACAGAAACTACAATTTTTCATAAATACTTATTTCTTTAAACACACATAACACTAAAACATAGGTTTTATGAACTGTGAACTTCAATCTTCTCTTAAATAAAAGACATAATTACATTAAGTAGAAATAGCAATAGTAATTAAGGAATCCATTTAAAGTGATGGATGAGGCACTTGTTTCTACTCAGGAAATAATCTAAAACAATGCATCACATGTCAACCAAAGAGTGCCACAGAAGAAAGGTACCACAATCAATGCTTTCTTTTGTTACCAAATGAAAGAACTACCTTTTTTTTCTGGTACCTCTTTTTTATAACCTTTATCCATTTTTATCTCTATTAAACAAATTCAAACATTTATGGATATTTAATTGTTTTCCACTTTATAACAGATGTTTTTGAAAACTATGAAGTTTACAAAACTCTGATTTTATCATCACTTGGTTGAAAAATCCTTTCTTTTCACCTAGTAATCTACTGTCATTTATAACTTTATTCCTACAGGAAAATAGGTTTAAACTTACAAGTTTGAGCCAGCCAAAATTACTTTAGATTTCACTATTACTTCACTAGTATTTAGTCTTCTATCATTTTGCTATCATTCCCTTGCCCCACATAGCCTTTCCCCGCTTCTATACTATATGATGTACTACTCCTCCCTGATGAGACTGGCGTAAATGGGCTAGTATTTGGCGTCTGTAGAAACAACGAAATCAGAATATTAGGGGAAGATTTCGTGTCTGGAAAAAGTATTCCAACAGCTAGAGCAGTTGTTCATTAGATAAGTTGGAGCAAAGGCTAAGTTTTGTCATACAATAAGGTATTCTGAGCGAGTTTGAAATGGGCATTTTGCAGTTTCTCGTGTGTGGTTTCGAAAGGCAGTATGTTAATGAGTCTCTAGACTGTGATTGTATAGTACCAGTTGTTAAACCAGCATTTTTCCTTTTTTCTTAGCAACTGCTACGAAATTTTTTTTTTTTTTTGAGACACAATCTCCCTCTGTTACCCAGGCTGGAATACAATAGCACAATCTCCGCTCACTGCAACCTCCGCCTCCCAAGTTCCAGCAATTCTCCCACCTCAGCCTCCCAAGGAGCTGGGATTACAGACACCTGCCATCATGCCTGGCTAATTTTTCTATTTTCAGTAGAGACAGGGTTTCACCATGTTGTCCAGGCTGGTCTCCAGCTCCTGACATCAGGTGATCTGCCCGCCTCACCCTCCCAAAGTGCTGGGATTACAGGCGTGAGCCACCGCACCTGGCCCTACAAACTTTTTTTCTTAGCAACTGCTATCAACTATCTAAAGAATAATTTTAGGTGGCATTTAAGTGAAGATATCTTACTTATACTACAGAGATGACTAAAATTATTCCTAAGAGCCACGTTCTTTTCAGTCTTGGCTTTGACACATTCACTTAACTTTGAGCAGGCCCAATATTTCTGCCTTTGATTTCATTTGTAAAGTCTGTCTAGTTTATTCCTTAGAGAGATTTACTTTAGGTGCATATTTTCCCCTGCATGTCACACTTCTATTTATCTTGCAGTCTATTTGTTAGATGATTTGCTCTTTTGTCTAAACTTTTCTTTTTTAAAAACGTATTTAGTTAACATAAGCCATATTCCTAACAAGATTACAGTGGAGCTGAAACAAAAATTTTTTTGTTTATATAGCTGGTTTATGATTTTGAAAGAAAAATGTATCTCTTTGTATATTTGCACTATATATTTTATTCTCAATTATTTTCAGTGTTTATAATATTTGCGTGAATAAATAAAGCTGCAGGGGGACAGTGAGGTTGGAAAGTAGAGAAAGCGGTCTATTTGAACTAATATCCCATGCTATTAACCCTAGAATTTTGTTCCAAAGAACAAAACTTGGAAACAATTGATCTCAAAACCCCTCATCGACTTGGAAATAACTAATACTTTCAAAACCTCTCATTTTGCTGATTAAAAAAGAGAAATTCCTGTGATTGTAACTTGTAGAGTCAGAGCAAAAACCTAGGTCTGCTAACTTCCAGTCCAGTGCTCCTTGTATTATAAAACAGCCTTGTCAACTGGGGCCCAAAGAAGTCCTTGGAAATTCTTACCATAAATACTGAATGCAGCTTGTGGAAAGGATGAGGACACCTGCAGTATCCAGAGGCAACTGACAGTTTAAAGCTGAGCCTAATGACACTGACCACTTTAGAATTTTCTGATTTTAGAAGTTCTCTGATTCTAGACAGGGTCTCGCTCTGTCCCCCAGCATGGTGTGCAGTGATGCAATCATGGCTCACTGCAGCCTCAACCTCCACGGCTCAAGCGATCCTCCCACCTCAGCCTCCCAAGTACCTGGGACCACAGGCACGTGTCACCATGTCTGGCTAATTTTTGTATTTTTTGTAGAAACAGGGTTTCACTATGCTACCCAGGTTAGTCTCAAACTTCTGGGCTCAAGCAATCCTCCCACCTAGGCCTTCCAAAGTGCTGGGATTACCAGTGTGAGCTACTGTACCCAACCCAGCTTTTTTTCTTTTTGAGAAAAGCAGTTACTTCATTTGATCATGAAATATTACATCTCCTTAAAATGACTTGCTCCTCACCAGAATACAAGTATGAAGTCAAGAATAACTGACCCAAGTGTCTTTCATGAAAGAGGTGTTTTTGATAAAAATCTTTAACAGGTATTTATATGGCATTCACTTTATTAATTATTGTGTTAAGATGGGAGGGGGATTTAAAAAAAGAAAGAGGGAAATGAGTGCTACTTGAATCGATTTGGTGGAGCAGATGCATATGAACAATTACAATTAAAGGAGAAAGGGAGCAGTGAATATGAATGGAGGAAAAATACTGAGAACTTCTAACTTTGATATAGACCATTTGGTATGGGCCCAACAGGGTCATGGTTTGACAACAGAGTTCTGCCCGTTTGTCAGGAAGCAGAATGGTAGATGGAGGGCTCTTGTGAATGCCTTATTCCTCAAGGAGCATGCATGATGATGAGTGAATAGGATTATGTCAGACAGATGCGGAGGGGACGTGAACTCAGATGGAATAACTGATTAGACTAATGGCACTGAGGTTAGAAAATGGGTGTGTTTAGAAATTCAATTTAGTGGTAAATTTAAGGTAACGGGGTAATAGGGGATGATTTGGAAACTGCGTATGGAGGACGCTGAACACCTGGCAGGCACAGTCAATAAACTCAGGAGAGGGCAGGGGAGTGCCATAAACTCAGCTTCTTTGAAAGGACATAGCAAAATGTAGTCACTACTTCAGATTCATACACCTCAGGTTAATAGAAATAGCTTAAATACTGGCCTTCCCTTGACTGACTTTTCCCCATAATTTCTGTCAAAGTCTTGAATTCTTTTTGTCACTCTTTAGATATTAGCATATTGCTGTCTCTCTGTATGCTGTCTGTAATTGCCCATAATCTAGAGCAGAAATATTATAATTTTTGGATATTCTGTATTCTTAACATTTAAGAATATTTAAATTGTTTTTGGCTTGAGTGTTCTTTTTAAAATTTTTTGTGTGCCAATGATTTTCAATAGAAAAAAAGATTCCACACCTCTATTTTACAGTGATGTTAGAGGTTGGTAGATGTTATCAATTATTACTTTTGCAATTACTAATAATTTGCTCAAATGTTTACCTACAGTATGGCATTTAATTCTCATCAAGCAGAGCACAACATTGGTGAAGAGTCAATTAAGTTTTCTTCCCTGTGCTTTTTTAAAGGAAATTCTCTAGTATGAAGGATGACATTCTTAACAACATGCTCACGGTCATACCCTTCAAAAGTAAAGACATAATGTCAAATAGTAATGCAGGAATAAATAATTTAGTTTAAGTACATTATTGGTCTAACATTACTCAGGGACAGAATTTAGACTATAGTAGATAGAGGAATGAGTAGGCTGCAAACTAAGCTTTTGATAAAGTCTAACAAGATTAGTAGATTACACAATCATTATATATAATATTAAAACAGATTATGTCCACTAACAAGACCTTATAGTCAGTATTTCTTGCCAATTAAGGGCAGATCCATATGCTTTGACTGTTAACCAAGATGGAAGTTGATGTTTCTTGGTGGAAAAATTAGAAGCCTAACTGGGGCATATGCCTGAATAGACAGATGTGCATTCAGCCTTCCAAGGATATGGACCAAAGTCTGTCTGTAGGTAGGACCAAGATTTTTATTACTGTTTTTGAATTTCTCTATTAGGAAAAAGGAGGAGTGTTCAAGTGCCCAAATTCTATGCTAGGAGCACATTTAGATCTACCAGTTGTCCAGTACAGCTCTTTAAAAAAAAAAAGAACACATCTAATTTGTTTACCACAGGATGTTTGTAAATATTCCCTAGGTTATAAAATTAGTGATCTGCTATATATATGATTGTCAGCTAAAGACCAATTATATCCATCAAAACTCTTTTTTTTTTTTTGGATAAAGACTGTCTTTTGGAAAATAAACGGTAAAACCAGTTGCTTCTTAACAGGCAATGATATAATGTTTAAATGAGTATGGATCTGAATAAATAGTCATGCTTTCTTCTTAACCACAAGAAATTCTTATGTCAAGAAGTGAAAAAATGATGGTAAAGCGTGTCCCTTTCTGTTATTTTATTACTTAGAGGTTTTAGCCTACTATAATCGATTAGTGTAATTTAAAACTGGTTACATCTAAAGCTTGTTTGTTAAATAAATTACATAAATAGGAAACCCTGAGCAGTTTTTAAAAGGTCAGTAGACTGTTTTGTCTTTGTATTGATTCTAAGAATTATAAGGCCTTGCCAGCACTTCTGCACCTTGCCTTTTTTACTACAAATAGCATGTGTCCCAATTACATAATTAAATACGTATCTTCTTTCTAATTTCTCTTTGGAAAAAAAGGAGTCTCAATCAGCTGTTTGTTCAGAAGACTTAAGCAGTTCTACAACATGCATTTACTTTTACTTTTATTTTGTGAAGAGTTTAGTATCTGGGTTCCAATCTACTTCTTGCTGGTTGTATAATCCTGGGCTCCAATCGCTAGGGTTGTTGTGAGGATTAAATAAAATTATGTGCATAGAGTGCCTAGAACAGTACCTGGAACACAGCAAGAGTGCAGTAGAGCTGAGCTGGGCCTTTATTATTATTCTGAACATTATATCACATTCTGAAATGAAAGATTATCTTAAAAGAGTAACTTGAAAACATACATAATTTACATGACTAGGAAGAATTTGACCTTCAAAGAGAAAAAAACTAGTATGTATTTTGTACAGCAATTCTAGAGGTAAGTAGAGGTGTCCTCATTTTATAGTTAAAAAAAAATGAGGCTCAGAGTGGTTAAAATTCTTGCCTTAAGTCACAATATTAGTAAATGATGTTACAGGGATCACATCCTATATCCTTTCTACTATTTATTTACCTCCTTTGTCCAGTTCCTGAAGAATCCAACGCAGCCATTCTCAATGTATTACTTTTTTTTAAAGAAGCTGTGTGTGTGCGTGTGTGTGTCTACGTGCACGTGTATATGAGAGATGGATGCTTTTGGAAGAAGTGCCTGTCTTTTGGAGGGATACTTGTTTGTGAGGCGACATGCTCCCTGTTGCGGATATGCCTCCGTCGATCTGGAATGGTACTCAGTCTGTATGTGGGGGGCAGGGAGGATATCTTGCATGTAGCCACTGTGTGCGCATTTATCTCTGTGAAGGGAATACAGTGAGTGTACTAGCACTTGTGCGCATGCATGTATGGCTGTGTGAGTGTGTATGCATGTATGTACTCATCTTTGAAAATGTTTATCTGTACATAAGTGTACCTATATGTGCATGCCTTTTCTGTGTACACATATATGCCTCTATATGTGTCCTTTTCCCCGTGTTTCTGTTCTGTGGGTATGCTTTTAGGCAACCTGTCTCTTTGTATCTAAGTGTGTAATACTGCGGTGCAGGTACAGAGGATGAAAGGAGTGTTGCCACATAAAATACTCCTAAGGATGGCAGAAGGCTAGGAATATTAACAAAAAAGATCCTGGACAGAAGCCATGAAGAAAATACAGACCATGTAAGCATGGAGATCAACCCAAGCTTGGAGATCTGATTTACTGTTTAATCATACAGGTCTTTGGCTGGAATATTATTAATGCAGGTGAACTAAATGGAAACAAGATAACAAACAAAGGTGGGATGTGAACTGAGCTAAATGTTTCTCTTTTAAAATACAAGACTAAGTGGCACTTTTATTTATTTATTTATTTATTTATTTTTTAGAGAAAAGGTCTTCCTCTGCCACCCAGGTTGGAGTGCAGTGGTGTGATCATAGCTTACTGTAACTTAGCCTGAGGCATGTTCCCATCTCAGGCCAGGTAGCTAAGCCTACTGGCATATACCACCACACCCAGCTCATTTTTAAAAATTTTTGTAGAGACATGGTCTTGCTATATTGTATAAGCTGGTATCAAACTCCTGGCTCAAGCGATCCTCCCACTTCAGCCTCCCAAAGCACTGGGATTACAGGCATGAGTCAACATGCCTTGCCTCAGAAGGTGCTTTTTAAATGATTACAGACTTGCTATTTGTTCAATACTTTTCTAAGGTGATTTTTGGAAGGAAAAGAGTGATTTAGGCATTTTGTTCAATCTTACTTAAAATTTTTAAACCTATTTATTATTTTTATTTAATAATTTAACAATTGTTTATTCAACATCTTCTATGTACTAGTCACTGTTTTAGGCACCAGAGATAGGGCAGTGAACGTAGGAAAAATTCTTCACTAATGCCGAAGGATACATTCTGGTTGCAGAGGTGAAAATAAATAATAAAATAATAATGAGATAATAATGGGGGAATAAAAGCTGAAAAATAGGATAAGGAATGTTGAGGGGGATCTTACAATATTTTAGTATTCAGTATTTAGTGTTTATCAGTGTTGTCAACATACATTCAGAAATTAATACCTTCCTCTTTATGCCTTGGTGTCTCCAATTAATGAAGCCATATCATATCATAGCTGTTATATTGAAAGGACAGAATCTGTTGTACATGCCCAGCAAGTTAGAGATGGATTTGAGAGTAATCCTGTTTTTATTTTCATACAGTCACCATTTGTTTATTCATCACTGCTGATCCAATTAGGGGCAGGTCCAGGCTCTTAATCTCTCCCACTGCTGCTTCTGCAGCTTATCAACTAGCCTTTAAAGCATATGCCTATTAATCAGGACATTTGTATTCAGGTATATTAGTAAACTATTGCTTATGTAAATTTGAAAACAAATAATTTAAAAGAGTTTCCTGGTAAATTCTGATTGGGTTGTTTATAACCTTGAAGAATCTCATAAGAATTACTTTCTACTTGTATGGGTCTATCTGGGATTAGAAACATATGCTATTTTAGATTTATTATGCCTCCACATGTTAGGTTTTCAAGCATTCTATAAGATATGTTTCTCAATGTTTTGTTTTACTTAGAAGTATGACTGGTAGAAAGATTCTCTGTTACTCTTTTATACAAATGAGTTCTTCCACGTACTAAGCATTTTTCTAGACACCAAGTATACAATAGAGAATAAAACAAGTCCCACCCCTTACAGAGCTTGCTTCATTCAAGTCAGGTAGACTCCATTAATAAGCAAGTAAATATATATATATATATATATATATATATATAGCATCAAGGAGTACACGAGGAAAATACAGCATTGAAGAAAATAAAAGCAAGGTTAGTGGAACAGAGAGTGCTAGTTTGTGGGGGAGGGCGCTGCTTTACAAAAGTACTCAGGAAAAGCTTTATTGATAGATAAACAGAACCACCAAGCAAGTAAGGGAATGAATACTGTGAATATCCAGAGGCCAACATTTCATGGTAGCTCTGCTGCAGTTTCATCACCAACACCAACAGGCCAGTTTATTTGGAGTGGGGTGGAAGATAAGATGGTCAGGAGGTAGAAGGAATTTTATAGAATATTTATAGGAACACAGGATTTTATGGGCTATGTAGAGGAAGTATGTAGGATTCTACAGGTCACTTACAAGACCTCGGTGTTGTTCTGAGTGAGATGGGAAGCCACGGGAAAATTTGGGAAGAGAGAGAAATAAAATGATCTTACATTTTTAAAAGATCTGGCCAGTGTCTTAACAGCAGGTTGAGGAACAAGTGCACCGAAGCAGGAAGACTAGTTAGGAGATTATGTGATAAAACAGGTAGAAGATGATGGTGGCTTGGGCCAGTGTGGGGAGAAGTAGTTGGATTCTGGATGTAGGATGAAAGGAAAGCTAACAGGATTTGATGATGACCTCTGGGACACAAAAGACAGCAGTCAAGATTTTTGGCCTGAGCAGTAGAAAAGATAGAGTTGCTGTTGATAAGATGGAAAATACTGTGGGGTAGGTTTGGGTGGGAAGATCAGGTGTTTGGTTGGATATTTCAAGAGTAAGAAACCTGTCACACATAAAATTAGAGATGCTGAGTAAGCTGCTAGATATTTGACCCTAGCGGCCTGAGGAGAGATCAAGGATGATTACTGAGGAAAGGTTTCCCACTAGCAAATGACAGAGTTTAATGTGTTTAAAACTGGGTTTGTTACTATCAAGTGCCGGAATACTTCATACACATTAAAATACCAGTGTGTTTCCTAGTCCGTTTATTTCAGGATTTAAACCACAGCAAGTAAAGGTGATGAAGTGCTTGATATAACAGTTTAGGGATTATTTTAGCTGTTAGTCATGTGATAAATCTGAGGAAATAGGAGGCAACATGGGCCAAAGAACTATGGTAAAATATTAGGAAAATTACATCTTCTAAATATTTGTTTTTTGAAGGATTGGGCCTTTATCATTTTGTTCTCAATTATCCTAAGAAGTAATAAGAGAAAAATCCTACACTGGAGTAGAAGTAAAATTGTACCTTAAAATATGAGTGGTAGTGTACTTTTAATTTGTTGTTTTAAAATTTACCTTTGTTTATAGTATTTTGTATTTTATATATATTTTTGCAAATAATTCAAATTATTAATTTTGGTAAAATGTGACGCCTTACTGAAGAGTATATACCTCTCATTTAAATCACAGCTAATGCTACTAAAAGTTAATAATAATTCTCTTCACTCATTTACTCATTTTTAAAAATTAAACTTTTTTCTTTTTTTTTTTTTTTTGGAGACGAGTTTCGCTCTTGTTGCCCAGGTTGGAGTGCAGTGGCATGATCTTGGCTTACTGCAACATCCGCCTCCTGGGTTCAAGCAATTCTCCTGTCTCAGCCTCCTGAATAGCTGGGATTACAGGTGCACGCCACCACACCCAGCTAATTTTTTATATTTTTAGTAGAGACGGGGTTTCATCATGTTGGCCAGGCTGGTCTCGAACTCCTGACCTCAGGTGATCCACCCGCCTCAGCTTCCCAAAGTGCTGGGATTACAGATATGAGCCACCACACCCAGCCTAAAAATGAAAGTTTTCTAACTGGTCATATCTAATTTTAATTAGTTTTCATAAAATCCTGATTATATGATTGAACATTTTAAACATACAAAAAAAGGAAAACTCACCATGTTGCTTCTGTTTTGGGTTATACATTTTCCACCATCGAAAAATGATAAATCCATCTTGAATTCTAAGAAAGGGAAATTACAAAATTAGAATTTAAGTAACAATTAACTTAATTCATTTCTTAGTTATTCCAAAAGGCAGGCAATTGATAATGAATAAGGAAATACAGGAAATCCTCTAAAGAACATTGGCATACGTAAACACACATCTTTTCGTGAACAAAGACTTATAAAGTATGTTTCATGATCTTCTAGTTAAAAAAGGAAAAGACTTTGCATAGCTAAAGATTTTTGACAAATAAAAATTGTATATATTTATCATATACAACATGTTTTGAAATATAATATTCTTCTAATGGTCACAGGAAAATGAAGTGCTAACAGAAATGTTTTCCTTTTCAAATGATATTTTTTTAAATAAAAAATTAGATACCTAGGTCTACAAGAGAGAGGGAAAAGAATTATATAACAATAAGCCAAATCTTGAAAGAGGGATGTTAGCACACAAAAGGGAAACTTTTAAGGATGTTCCTTCATTTCTCAAAAATAACCTATCATGCCCCAAAGGGATGGACTTACAGTCTCTTAGCTTTTCATTTTTCACTTTTGATTTGGAAATAATTGTAGACTAGCATAGAAGTCTCCTATAGTTCTAAGTGAGGTGTGAACATCACCAAACTCTAGCACCTCTCAATTAATTCAAAACTTTTGAACTCTACCTAAGTCACAAATTTTAAGAAAATCACAAAAACAGAGTAGGCTTTTCTTTCAAGACTTAAAGAAGAAGGAACATTTCAATCATATCCTTATTATATTCATATTTGTGTTTCCTTCTTCAAATAAAATTAGTTTCTAACAAATGCTAAACAATTCTACAAACGTATTATCTCTAATAAGGAGCTAATGGATGACAGCTACCAATATCTCTAAACCTTGCTGTATATAACAAATGACTACTATGAACTCTATGATATAAAATGATCAGGCAATTTGAAAGTTCACTTTTTCATCTAGAAATGAAAGAGTATTCATTTCTATAAACTGCTATTTTTATATTCTGCTAAATTAATCCACTGACAAAATATTTTAAAACATCAATTTACCAAGTATGATTTACTGGAAAAAAAAATTTGATTTAGTTTTATTTGAAGAAGCAAGTCACATTAAATAAAATATCATAAAACATTTTAATAATATTTTTAAAGTATGTTTAACATGGGTCCTTTTTAATGTTTTAATTTTGTTACCTAATAGACATGTCTTCTGTAATGTAATAGATTTCACGAACCATGACTTTTCCAGAAAGAACAGAGAAAGAGAAGGAACCTATTACAGGAAAGAAAAAACAGCAGTTAATGCAACTGTTTTAACAGACATTAGGGGCCTTAAAGTTTAAAATAACATTAGCACTCAATTTATTCAATAAGCATCTCTTCTCATTTCCTTCCTGATACCCTTATAGCCTTACTGATTTTCCATCATTCTTTCCCCAATAAAACAAAAAGTGCCATACATATCATCACTATGAAGTAAGCTACTAAATAATCAGAAGAGGATATTAGTTTAAGTCACTGCCTCATATGGACAATTCTCTTAATTATGCACAGCCATTAAATAAACCCAAAGTAGTGACTAATTCACCATTTTTCTTTAGTAACTTGAGTGACTGCAGGAACCAGCCATTGCCTCAAATTAATGGAAGACAATTTATGTTTGAAAGAAGTTTTATGTCGGCTAAGAGGTACTCAGTAAGGCAGGTTAGCATGGTTCATCTCCAGTCATCTCTCCCCACCCCTTTCTCCCATTGGTTTCGGACTTTCAAAGCACATAGCTTCCTAATACACCCTCCTCCTATCTACCTGTAAATTTCCTACTTTTAAGTAGTCAAAAATTGAATTAATAAAGCAGGCCATAAAATGAAACACACAAGATGATTCTAACTTACATATTTTTAAAGTATGGGTTACTTTAAAAACAACCAAAACTACATTGAACATTAAAAACTTTCTTTTAACGGTGGACTCTCAAGAAATTTCTATTTCCATATTTTATACATATCCAAGTTTTTCAAATTCTTTTAATGAGCATCTTTTATAAGTTAAAAAAAAAAAGTCAAAAAGTTACTATAGAAACACTTGAAGAAGTAATAAATAATGGAGTAAAGGACACAACCAAGTGGATATTATCATGAAGTCACGGAGTGCTGTGTGAGAGAAATTCCAGTTAGATTATTTTAACAATCATGAAACAAAGGTAAACTTCTAATGCTACTATCTGTTCATGAAATATAAATTTATAATACACATCTGCTATGGTTTGAATGTTTGTTCACTCTAAAAGTCATGTTGAAACTTAATTCTCAATGACGTGTTAGACGGGTGGGAAATCTGACTACAGTATTTGAGACATGAGAGCTTTGGGAAGTACTCAGGATTAAAGGAGGCCATGATGTTGGGGCATCAGTGGCTTTACAAGAGGAAAAAGAGACCTGAGCAAGCAAGCTCAGTCCCCTCACCATGTAACACTCTGTGCCACCTCAAGACTCTGCAGAGTCCCCACTGGCAAGAAGGTCCTCATCAGAGACAGCCCCTCAACTTTGGACTTCCCAGCCTCCAGAACTATAAGAAATAAATTGCTTCTCTTTATAAATGACCTAGTCTCAGGTATTCAGTTATAGCAACAGAAAATGGTAAGACAACATCTCAAGATTATAAGGAAGAAAAAAAGTCAGTGTCAACTCAAACTTACCAATATGGATATAGCCATGCTTGTATAATCTGTTAAGAACTAGTGTTAAAATAAGACCAACATTCCGGGAATTATAATACGTGAGGTAAATAATCCATCCACAGGACAAAATGGTAGCTGTTGGGAGGAAAAAAATCAGAAATAATAGGATTTACTTCTACACGGTAATGTGTCCTCTTACAATTTAATACTTGGAATTTTAAAACCAGAGGTTGATTATACTTTATCCAGCTTTCTTCCTCTTCATCATTCATTATCCAGAAAAGCATAAATTCCAATCGGATCCATTAAAGCAATGTTTCAAGTATGCCTGCTTTCCTTTCTGTTTACTTTATCACTTCTTCGTACTGTTTTAGTTATTAAACATTATGTAAAGATGTTCTGGGAGAAGAAAATTCATGTTTCTGAATATTCTGAAACAAATTCACCTTTATTGGGCCAAAAACTCATCTCATACACAAGTTCATTCCCAAGTTATTTCCTGAAACAAGCTATAGCTACTTGTAAAGGAAGAAAAGTAATGATTTTTAAAATCTCTGCTTTAAAAAAACCTTCTGCTTTTTAAAGGTGTGCTTTAAGCAAAAGATATTGGAATTTAGTATAAAGCCATATTAAATAGGCCACCTGTAACTAGATATTTTGCTGTAATGAGTAAGACAGTAAGTTATGATGAATGTCATTGAATATGCTATAGTAAATGATATTCTAAATTTATTTTTTCAATGAAAGTATATAGTTACTTATAAAATTCATATTCTCAAAAAATCTAGTTTATGAATATACAAAAGGCAAAACACAGGAAAACATTGTTTTGATAATAAATTTGCTCTTACTTATCCTTTTCAAAAGTATTACTTCTAAATTATGAGAAAGTTATATAAAGCAACTTAACCTGTATAACCCTTTAGTAACATCATATTAAGTCCTTAACTTTTAAACAATTATGTATTATAGATAAAGCAATCACTGAGAATCAACATAAAATACAATTCCCAGGGCAGCTTAGACTGATGGTAATAGCTTTGACGTAGTAAGTGCTATGATTTACCATTTAAAAAAAAAAAATTCTAGAATATTTTGAAAAGTTATTTTGATGATATGCCATTATATCTGAAGTTTAAAGTCATTTTGTATAAATTTTTACTATAAATCATTGTGTCAACTGTAGGTTGTTATATGAGCCCTTCAGAATGGCAACAGGCATTTGCTGAGAAAATATGCTTTTAGTATTAAACAAGCCAGGAATTATAGTCTTTTCCTTTTTTTTTCCAATAAATAACTGTTTATTAAATGAAAAAAATGTAATAAGAACAATAGTCAGAATTGAGGTAAAGCAGATGGCCTGCATTTAAAAAATAGTCTTCCTAATCTTTCTACCACTTCAACCATCACTTGGATCAACATTTTTTTGTTGCAAACTCCTGATGCAAAGTCGATTATTCCCTGCTCGCTGGCAGTAAGAAACAAAGTGATATTATATAAACTTCTTTTTTCTTCCACTCAGATCTATTCACTGAGGTTCTTTTCAACCAGTTGTTTCCAATGAATTGTAGTCTTTTCATTATATCATGCCCCCCTACCCTCATAGTAAAACAGAGGGATTAAACAATTGCTCAATGTTTTTCTGCTTGTTACTATTGTTGTTCTTTTCTCAAAGAAAGGAAGTGTTTAGAACAGAAAAAAGTCTGAAAAATTCGAGGTGACAGGAAAGGGAACAGACACTTCACCTCTACTCATACATATTCCTACCCACACCCTTGGGTGTCATGAAAGAAGCATAAGCAGCCCTTCAGGAAAAAAAAAAAAAAAAAAAAAAAAAAAAAACACCTGTGTAACCCTTATAAATTACTTAATCTTTAAGGGCCTCAATTCCCCAACAGGGAATTAAAAGGAAAAGAACAAAAACCTACCTTTATAAAGCTACTCTGAGCATTAAGTGAAACAACATATGTACAACCTGGTATCTAGCACACACAAGATGTTCAACAAATTATCATTACCCTTACTTTCCTCTCTTACCCTTTCTAATTTCCTCTGTTTCCAATTCTTATGCCAAAATTAAAGTCAAATACCATTCTCCCATGAAAACTTCCAGAGCAGACACAGTCTACAATAATTTCACCCTTCCCTGGTATTATTTTTGTATTTCTCCCTCTCATTCATTCATATTCATTCATTCAGTCAGTCATATTTCCTTTCTCTCTCTGCTATTTAGAGTTATTTGTATATACCTAGAAAACGTCTAGATTATACAAAAAAAATTAATAGCAGATCTCACTGAAAAGTGCATAAGGAGTGAGGAAAGAGATGAAAAGATTAGCATATAATTCTTTTACTATAAAAATAGAATTATTTTTACAATAAAATTATATTTGAGGATTTATTATTTCTGTAACAAAACAAAAGTGTTTGTGTGCGTGTTGAGTCGAGAAGTAGGGAAGGTGACCTGAAACCGGAAAGATAAGCTAAGTGCAATGTTTTTCTTCTCTTTCCACTTCCCCTAAGTCAGATGAGAAGGCAGCGTAAGAAAAAGTAGAGCATTTCAGACCAGTTTCCAGAACAAATGTTCAAGAAATATAAATAACAATCTTCCTTCCTAAAAATAAATAAATGGTAGTGTTAGTGTTCCAACTTCAGTCAACCACTGTTTAAAATCTGGCAGCTGTTAATCCATACTTAAAACACAATAAAGTAGAAGAAAAATATTCCACTTACCAACAAGGAGCCAAACAACATTGGAATTGTGTTCTGTAAGAAAATCTTCTAACTGAGTGATACTAGGGACAATACTCTCATTCTTCCTTTGATCCATTACTAAAGTTTTTCCAGAACAACATCTAAAGGCCTAAAAGAGGTCAAAGGTTAAATTTACAATCAGAGGTTTATAAAATTGCAACAGAAATCATGAAGGGGAAAAAAGGGTGAATTTAATAAAGTTGATTAAATCACCTTTCTGTTTCTTTCAATGATGAGAATACAAAAATACAACAAAACTGCCCACATTTCTACTAAAATGTAAGAGAATGTATCATATCTGTAATGTCCTGATTTCATCATTCTAAATGTAAGCACTGACTAAGGTTCAATTACTATACTCTGGCTCAAAATAAGAGGAATGTGATTATTCTTTTTTTTTGAGACGGAGTTTTGCTCTTGTTGCCCAGGCTGGAGTGCAATGGCACCATCTCGGCTCACTGCAACCTCTGCCTCCCAGGTTCAAGCAATTCTCCTGCCTCAGCCTCCTGAGTAGCTGGGGGGATTACAGGCATGCGCCACCACGCCCGGCTAATTTTGTATTTTTAGTAGAGACAGGGTTTCTCCATGTTGGTCAGGCTGGTCTTGAACTCCTGACCTTAGGTGATCCACCCGCCTCAGCCTCCCAAAGTGCTGGGATTACAGGTGTGAGCCACCGCACCCGGCGTGATTATTCTTTAATCAAAAGCATCTCAATAATCAGAAGTACTAGCCATCTACATTAAACAAATTCATCCAGACTTGTCCCAAAGCCACCACTTAATATTGTCATATTTGTATATTAAGTTAGATAAATCCCTCTTACCCTCCATCACCTCTATGTATTCTCCATTATCCCATGGAGAAACAAGCTTCCTAGTTCAGATTCACTCTAGGTAGTCAGAACAGTAAAAAGACCTCCTGCTATCAGATGCTTAAGATAAAGAAAAATTCACTGTAGAACTGTGACCCAAATTCTGACAAATATTTGTATGCATAAACATATGTGTGCATATACATATGTATATAGATATGGGTGTATATGTATATATGCACACACAGTAGTAGAATGAATATGAATATTGAGATGTACCAACAATAAAAAGGAAAAAGTTCATATTTTATGATCCAAGAAACAAGAAAATATTCCTTCATAATACCGTAGTAACATATGACTAACCCAACCTACTGATAACAAAATTATCTCATAATAAATCAGAAAGAGCAAAAAAGCTAGACTTAATCACAAAGAGACCTACACAGTTAATACTACTTTAAGACTAAACAGCAGAGGAGATTTTTACAGATAACTACAAAAATAGCAAATTTTTTCTGCAGTAAAGAATATGGAAGGATAACTTTCTAATTGAAATTTTATACATCTGACTTAACTTTCTAAACCGTTTTCTGTTTATTCACCACAACTCTTATCTTTGGACATCACGAAACAAGTTTAAAAATTGGATGAGGCCAGGAACCTATAATCCCAGTGCTTTGGGAGGCAAAGGTGGGAAGAATTCTTGAGGCCAGAAGTTGGAATCCAGCCTGGGTAACAGAGTGAGACCCCATCTCTGCCAAAAAAATAAAAATAAAAAACTAGCCATGCATAGTGGTGTGCACCTGTAGTCCCAGCTACTCAGGGCACTGGGGCAGGAGGATTGCTTGAGCCTAGGAGTTCAAGGTTACAGTGAGTTATGATCATGCTACTGCACTCCAGCCCAGCTGAGAGAGGGAGACCCCTTCTGAAATAAATAAATAAATAAAAATTGGATGAGACGACATTGCCAGACACAATCTACAACACATTATGAATCATATTTCTACATTGATTAAATCATATAATTTACAAAGGCAAATTAAACAATCTCTTAAGAAATAAAGAACTCAGTAACAGAAGGTTTATTATTAATAGTGATATGAAAACCTAAAGGCAAAAGAGCTAGAGAAGATTAAGAAAATGTTTTCAGTTTACAATAATCCTTTTTTTCCTACAATGTAGAAACTGCATAAAAAATGTTCTTGTATTTTTCAAAGCTTTGAAAAATCCCTGTCAATCAGAACCTTAAAATTTGGGGGCTAACTTTACAACATGAGCTTTCTCTTTCTTCCCTCTTAAGTTTTTTTTTTTTTTTTTTTTTTAACTTTTAAAAGGGAGCAAATACTTTGAAAAAAAACTATCTTAAAAAATCTAAAACCAAATATTCACATATTACATAATGGTTTACATATCATAAAACAACATATGTATCTATTTCATACTTATTTTTACCATTCTACAGATTGCTAGCCAGCACATCACTAAGGAGGAAAAGACTCTAAGGGAAAGTTCCATGAGAGATATGTCCCAGCATTCAGGTCTCCATATAAAAAGGAAATGTTTCTAATCAAATCCAAGGGGAAATGATCTATCCACCAAAAAGACCTCATCTAAAATAATCATGACCCACCACTGTAACAAACCACAGTCAAAAAGAATGTGGAAAGAGGTTGTTTAGGCTGTAAAGACAGAAACCCCACAGTATCAAACAAGTTTCAATCAATATTTCCTGAATATTAGATTAATGCAAAGCCTTTAAGATAAATCAACACATAAAGGCTAAATATTTAAAAGAACATATTTTGAGCAAGTACAGAAATAAAGGCTAAGATTGAATAAAGCCCCTAAAGTAAGAAGTAGATATTCTGGTATAAAGAAAGTAAGGCAACACTAGACACAGAATCCAAACGAAAATGTTGTTATATGTTCAGCCACATGAAGTAGTGTATCACCAATTCCTTAATAGTGAGAGACTGGAGACGGATATGGTAATCTATTGCAAAATCTTCATGGAGCAAATGGTGGAACAAAATACAAATTGGTTGTTTCCTCTTCCTCTACCCTTCATGACAATTCAATCTAAAAGTTGCAAGGTGAAGCAGAGTAAAGCATGCATCTGCACATGGGGAAGAGAGAGACAGGAGTCTCAGCGGCCTAGAGCAGGATGTCAGAGCCTGATATGAATAAATTAAGTATCCAATGGCATGATGGACAGGCTTGTGGAGTAGTGGCAGCACCTAAGGGTGTCAAAAACAGAGTGAGATGAGGAGCATACACTTGTAGGGAAGAAGTCAGGCATAGGATGCTGGAGCCTGAGTGGAAGGAGAACATTCATGGCCAGCAGGGGCAGGAGGCAGCACAGGAGAAGCACCCAGCTTCAGGTTTCAGAGGCTGAGAGGAGTGAGAGCCTGAGCAGAGGGAAAAAAGCATCTACTCAGGAAGGCTGCCGGGCATAGGGTGTCAGAGCCCAAGAGAAAGGTCACAGATCCAAAAGAGCTAAGTAGGGTTTCCATGCAGGAGAACAAGCTGAAAAGTATGTTGGACCAGAAATAGGATAAGGAGGACACACCTGGGAGATGAAGTAAATAAATATATTAAGGATAATGGGAGCCATTATTACAATGTCTCACTGTTGGAGATATATAAAGGAAGAAAATTAGAATAAAACCTAAAATGGTAGATAAGAACTGGAGCTATGGTTTTCAACATAAATGGATATAGAAATAAATATAGCTGTAAATGTATTTATGTACTGTATATGTGCATGCATGTGTTCACTAACAGGTCCTGAGAGCAACACCACCTCAATAAAAAGGAGCAGAAAACTTTGTTTCGAAAAAGCCATTTTCTACTAAGAGGAAACAGGGTCCCTTGCAAAAGTGGCTGACTCCACAACTAAGGGACAGAAAGTAAAGATAAGCCTTGTTTTCCAGAAAGGAAAGAAGTACCCAAAGAATGATACGAACATGTCAAAAGGACACAGAAGCCAGCTTAAAGAGGCTCCCACTGGAAAAACCTGGGACAGACTAACATAAAAATAAATGACAGTAATGGATTACTACCCATTTAATAAAACAGGTATCTGAGGCAGGGCGCGGTGGCTCACGCCTGTAATCCCAGCACTCTGGGAGGCCAAGGTGGGCAGATCATGAGGTCAGGAGGTCGAGACCATCCTGGCTAACATGGTGAAACCCTGTCTCTACTAAAAATACAAAAAATTAGCCGGGCATGGTGGCAGGAGCCTGTAGTCCCAGCTACTCGGGAGGCTGAGGCAGGAGAATGGCGTGAACCCGGGAAGCAGAGCTTGCAGTGAGCCGAGATCGCGCCACTGCACTCCAGCCTGGGTGACAAAGCGAGACTTTGTCTCAAAAACAAACAAAAAAAAACAGGTATCTGAGTCCATAGCAATATAATCAAATGTTGATGGCTAACAATATAGTCACATCAAAATAACTCTTCCCCCACCCCCAAAAAAATACTTATTAATGACAAAGGGGAAAAGAGGAACTTGGAGAAAGGCAAGTTAAGTGATCAATGTAAATACCAGCAGCAATAGGATAAGTCAAAACTGTGAGCCTCTTAATAGAAGAACACAGTCTCACTTCTGTGATATTCCTGCCAAAGATGCATATAGCTTGAATCTAATCTAATCAGTGGAAAGAGATTCTGGGGGAAGGAGAAGCAGCAGCAAAACCAGACTTTCACTTTATTTTGGGCACTCACATATTGTTTGTTTTACAACTGGCATGTAATATTTCCATAATTTAAAAAGAAAAAGACAAAGTGATGGTTGGAGGACAGGATGCTGTAGTTGGGAAAACAGCTTTTTTTTGCCTAAGCATACATTTCTTGGCCTCTCCTTAAACCGTGGCCAAGGTATAGGTGTCTCCCAATCCCAAAATTCTAATCTAGTCATCTGTAACTCTATAATCACATCTTTCTATGGTTCTTAAATATTTGTATTCTGTAATTAAAATGCAGATACTCACTAAGCAATATCAAACTCAGAGGCCTTCACGTAAACTCAGAAATATCAGTTAATACCTTAGCAAGAATTATTTGATATGATAGCCTTGAGTGTAAAATGAAAAGAGGAATGCCTACAATGTTCTAGAATTGCAGGGAGGGGAGAGGACAGCTACAAATAAGGAAGTGGATACAGAACACTAAATAAAACAAAAGAGATGAGGGAAAGTGAGAAAGAGAAGGCAGTTATTATGGAACAACAGTAGAATCAAAAGATGCTGCTTCAGACTGTATTGTTCCAGAAGCAGAACACTATATGGATTAAAAGCATAGACTC